TTCTGTTTTCATCGTTTTGTTCTGCTCTTCTGACACACATATACGACTTGAAAATATTCTTTTGTCCATTTCCATTCCCTTTTAATCGGCCGCGCGCACCGCACAAGCAACCGTATTTTCTGCTGCATTTCAACCATTTTGATCAAACGAATTGTGCAAATTGCGGGGAAAAAACACGCTGACTGCAAAGTCAGCAATGTCTTTCTGGTCACACATACACACACATGAACCCATTTATATTTTGTCGTTGCTCGAAATTCAAATTCATTCATTCACACACAATGCAATCTATAGAATCATCAACATGTACGTATACCGATTGTGAACGAGTGCTCATCTAATTGTGGTAGCCAAACGAATAGTAAATATTGCTCTCATGTCAGTCGATATATGTGCGAGAATTCAACCTTGGGCCACATACTTTTTTCTTCGCTCTATTTTGCTTATTTGTTTGCTTGCGCGCGCGAGAGAGTTTTTTTTTTGTCATTACAGCTTTTAGTTTTTTGTTCGCCTCATTCTGTCTCTTCATTCGATTTTAAGCGACGAGTGTCATCGTCGTGAGTTCATGAATTTTCGATGAATGAATTGGAAATTAACCAAGCTAATTGCTAGGCGAACAAAAGCGAGCGGAAAAAAAAATCGGAATGAAAATATCGATGCAGTACTTAGTGCATCTATTCGAATAAAAATTTCATTCACCCGACCGTTGGGGTGTTGGCCGGCAGACAATCCGTCTTCGTTGCGAAACACAATGTCGTGTGCTGTGTGCTCTATTGCTTGATGATGGAGGAGCATGAGAGCTCAAGGAATTTGGAACATTTTCAACATTTTAGATGTCAATCGTTTATATTTTTTTTTCCTCAGTGTGTATGTGTGTCTGTTTGACGGTGGTCTCATTTAGAAAGGTTGTGTGTGCGCTGCCGTTGTTTTTTTTCTTTCTGTATAGTTTTTCACATACAATCATTATTATCAAACGCGACACTGTCGTCGTCGTCACCAACATATCATCCTCGGCCAAAACGATTGTATCTATTGTATCCACCCACATTCATGCGGTTAGAGGCTGTAACAGAACAGCGACAGAAGCGGCAGTAGCAGCAGGAAAAAATATATAAAGTAAGTCGTTACACAAACGTACTGCTCTGTGTGTATAAAAATTGTTTTGTGTGTGGCGCGCTTTTACATTCATTCATTCTCATTCAGTATTTTTCATTCATTACTTTTTTTCACTCGTTCCCATTGATTTTTTTTTTTCATTTCGGTGTGTGGTTTTTTTTCGGTGTTGGTATTTCATGTTTGTGTACCTATCTATATCTATAGCTATGTGTAGTAATATTTTATATGATTGCGAATAAGCGATATATATATATTTATATAGTCTGTAGCAATGGGTTTTTAGACGGATGAGTTTTTGTTTTCGAAATGTGCTCATTTAGGTATGGGCATTTTGAAATGTTCGCTTTTTGAGGCAGAGAAATTTGCTCGCAAATTTAATTTCCGCAACGTTTCAAAACAATGTATCCTGATCATGGATCTTACACATAAACCCCTTCTTCGTGCCGATTAAAAGGTAAAATAATCATTAATCGTGTCTAAATCAGAAACAAAAAAAAACGGAACCTTTTTTTTGTTCACATTCAAAATTCCGATTGAGAAAAATGGAGAGAGCGTACAAAAAAGCGTGTGTTCTTACTGTCGATCCGAATTGCGCTTGAAAACCATTGCAGGTTTTGTGTCAGCACGTTTTTTAATTGGCCGATTTGTCGCAAAGCAAGCGAGATCTCGTTGCGAGCGAGAGAGAGAGAGAGAGAAAGAGAGAGAGAGAGAGAGAGAGCAACGGGTAATTTGACTTGTTTAAATTTCGATTATTTGCAACGGAGTAGGTGGACCTCTGGCATATAAGGAATGCACCACAAAGACGCAGAGCAACACAATTTAATCGTTTCTTATTTAATCGTTTCTTTCGTTTTTTTTTCTCTCGCTCACTCTCTCTATGTCTTTTGATTTTTCTTTGAATGAAAAATTCATTCGACACGCTGAACTGAATGAAGAGAGCTAAAAAGAGAGAGAGAGAGAGAGAGAGAGAGAGAGAGAGAGAGAGAGAGAACGAACGGCGAAATAAAAATCGCGTGTGCACAAAATATCGCCTCGGGCGAATGTTGTTTCAAACCCACGCAAGAATTCGAAAATGGAAAATATTTTAAAATATTCAGCTGCAAATATTTACAATTTGTCTAATAAAATCTGGCCCAACTTCCATCGACACACTGAGAGAGTGCGCGCGGCGCGACCTATAGCTAGCTCATTCAGTGAAAATGAATTGAATTGTCTTGAATTTGTCGCACGCAATGTGCTGCTGCTTTGTATGCGCGTGTGTATGTGTAAATGTAAACTTTTTCCTCTCTCTCTCTCTCTCGGTGTATTTTGTGTAAAGAGTCTTAGCTGCTCAATTTCGGATCGAATGCGATTCACGTGCTTCCTATTCTCGAAAATAAACACAAACGGAAGAAAGAGTGCTTTTTAGTAAACATCATAATATGGAGACGCTTTCGGCGGGAGAATCTGTTCCGAAATTCTTCGAATTTCGCGCAGCGCGCGACTTTAATGAAATTTTGCTAATTTGTTTGCAAATGTATTTAATTAACTGACACTTGTTTTTTTTCCTTCTTCTTGCTTAATCGTCTCCGCGCTGCTCTCGACTCGCATTTGCAAATTTGCACAAACCGAACAACTGTATCATTCCGTTTGGGTGCGTTATTTTCTTCGATGTTTTGGGTGATGCGCTACTTTTCTGTCGCTATTATTCACACAACCAGTCGCTTTAGCGTTCCATCTCTATTACTCTGTCGTAATCATCATATTACAATATTCAAAGCAGCAGACGATGATGTTGAAGAAGAAATGGAAGAAGAAGAAGAAGTAGTAGTAGTAGTGGTAGGAGAAACAAAAATGTGCCTATTGAAATGTTAATGAAATAAATAAGTTTTGTTAATGCGATCGCCTGAAACACACTTGCGACCGCAACTACAAAAATAAACATGCCGTTCCTTCAATGGATTTTCAATTTTATATGGCAAATTAATACATTAAGCTTGCTTACGTGTGTAGATATTCAAGCGCAAGCAATATTCGCAAAGACGAAATACCAAAGGAGCGGCATACAGTTTCATTTTACTGAATAACAATATTATTCCATTCATAATGGCTGCTTCATTCATAAAAACCTTCGAATTATAGTTTTACACTTGCCCACTAGGAGCGTGATATAATTGTTACTCTCTGTGTACAAACACATTGAAAAACGGTTGATCGGTCGGTCGGTCGGTTGGTCGGAACGAGCAGTGAGCGAGCGCCCATGAACGGATGCGTACACTGCTTATATTTGTGTGCACATATGTGAGCTGAGGCAGCCGCAATGCCGTAGAAATCTTGTTTGTGTGTGTGTGTGTGTGTGTGTGTGTGTGGAAGCACACAAATCGCTTAGGCCGATATTTTAAAACATCAACGTGCGAATTCATATATACACTTCGTGCACGCTATCTCACTCTATCTCTCGCTCTATCGATGTTTCGATCATCCGTTTCGTTTCATTCCATTCCACATTTGATTTTCCACGGCAACGTATTTTTTCTTCCTCTTCTTCTTCTTTTATTTCGATCACATTTGCCGCAGAATATTCAACTTATATGTATACATATATGTGTGTTTTTTTGTCATTCTTCAGTCACATTTGCCTTCAGACGTGTCTTTCGGAGTGTATAAACATCATATAGCCGATATCTATTGATGAGCCGTAAATGAAGCTATGTTGGGATTTCCGGTCGAGTTTCGTCAAAGCGATTTCCATATTTTCGATATTTTGTGATCACATTTGGCGAAATGGAGAGCTCATGATCGTTTGCAACATGCGCCACAGTCATTGCAATCAAGATCACATTCGATCATCAAGATCGTATTTCTAATGCTAAAGGACACTTTTCAGCGAACGATTTTTATTTTTGTTTTTAGTTTTTTTTTTAACATAAAACATAGGCTATTCAATCGCTCACCACTGGATATATGGTGTGATGGCTCTCGACACGTACGTAAATCGTGTTCGTAAGCTCAAACCGAACGTATATTTTTTTTCTTTTTTTTTCGTCTTCTACTTCACAAAGATCACTCACAACATAAAACCTACATACATTCAACAGCATTGCGGATTGTGTACCCGTCATATCCTATACGGCTTACACAAGCATGCATTCGAAATACCATTAATACACAAATGATTGCCGTTTGCTTCGAAACGTATCGTATCGTATTGGGACCGTTTACGTATGGCTACGTTTTGTAGTTTTCAGTCGGATCGGTGTGCATGTGTGTTTGTGTGTTTGTATTAATGACAACGTCTTCTCCATCTTTTATTCACTTCGGTTTCGGTGGAAGAAATGTAAAAGTCATAGTACAGTAATGTTGCTTTTTTTTCATTTTTTTCTACTTGGTTCGTTCATATGTGGCACCAAGTTAATGAGGCTTTTGTAAGAGCAACAGCAACAGCAGCAGCAGCAACGACGACGACGTCGTCGTAGAGCCAACGATGTGGTTCTCGTTCACGTGTGTGCTTGTGTAGCCCGTTCACCGATTGTGTGTATGAGTGAGTGGCCGAGTAAGTGTTGGTGTGCACACGACGACATTCGCATCATTGAGACGGCCGTGTGTTTCCTTCTCTCGTCGTTCATAATCGTGCCCAAATCATGCAGCCGCCTGAATAAGCCGCATCATACGCAAGCACACCATCCACACATTGTCACATACCGCTGCCGCCGTCATCATCGTAGTTGTCGGTTCGGTTGTGTGTCTCTCAAATACACTCATATGGAAAGTCGAACACTAGCACAGCGCTGCATCTCTATCACACCGCTGCCGCTCGATTGCTGCGTAGAAAGGGAGCGAACGTTTTCATTAAAATAAAATGAAAAAACTTTGTGGCGAGTGAAAACGAATTCAATATATTTATCAGTCGCTTGAGATATTTCGCTTGTGGAGGATTGATTGTACTCGGGTTCCGTAAAAATTTCTTCTTTTTGAATATACATGCATATATACATACAGTTATACATACAGTGAAAAGTGTACGGACCTACTGAACGTATAGAGACGAGAGAAGCATACAAGACATAAGAAGAAAAAAAATCGAGTTTTTTTTTATATATATATATATTCATTTCGTTGGTTGAAGAAACGAAAAAATAGTTCACAATCATTTAAAGAAGAATGATCGTGATTTCAGTGTGGGACAGAGAGAACAGAAATGAAAAACAAGAAGTAAAAATTCCGGCAACTGAAAGTCAAATTGTAATGTAACCATATTTCGTTATTTTCGAAATGCGATGATCAGTGATTTCACTAAGCTTCCACTGCAATAAAATAAGTAACCGAGGCGCACACACACCAAGTGATCGAAAAACGAAGAAAACGTTGAACAAATTGCACTCGCACCACGATTTTATGAACGATTTTTATTTTTATTTTAATTCAAATAGAAAATCTGTGTTGCTCTGGTACTTCTTAATTTTATTTTATTATTTTTTTTTTTCTTCTTCGGTTGTTAAGTGTATGGTGTGTTGAGTTTTTTATATAGAGAAAAAAAGGAAAGAAAAAAAAATAAATAAACGAGAACAACAGAGATTTAACAAATGTGTGCGTTTGAACAATATATAAGTGTACCATGTAAAATACAACGTATACAAAGATAGATACCACATGAAGTTTTTTTTTCTTCTTCGGCTTAGTCGTTCGTTTGTTCAATTCAAATATATGCTCTTTACATAAGCCCGTGGAATAAGGAGTGATTACAACGGCTGTTGCAGCGCGATCATTACCGCTACGATACTGTCTTTTTTCTGTGTATAACTTGTGGGTTAAATGGTGTTTGTTGTTGTTGTTTTGCTGCTGCTGTTATTGGTAATAAAGCAATCGGCTACTGCCTAACCATCGATATATATATATATACACACACACACACACACACACACAATCAAGGCGATCGATGACTGAGTTGCACAATTTCGATCTGGAAGCCAACTTACCAAAGACCTAAATGCGTTTTCTTATGCTATGACAAACAAATAGCACGAAACAAAACAGAAAAAAGAAGAAGAAGAAGAAAATAACGAGCAAAAACGAGAAACGTATCGAAGAAAACAGAAAAATAAAACAAACAAAAAACTGTTTGTGATCATGCGATTCAGAATAACTTAACACACACAAAAATTCACGAAGAAAAGAAAAAAAAGTTTTCAAAAAATAAGTCATCAATACATAGGAATTTTGTCAAAAATCAAATCACAATTGATTTGAGAACACAAAGAAGCAAAATTCAAGACACAAGCGACACAACCGATAATGACAGTGACATGTGCTAACGAAAGATTCATTATCGATCAAATCGCGTGCTGAAAATATTCGACCGAACATTGAAAACCGCAACGAAATCAGTGCTCTCTCAATGAAAATTGCAAGCATTCTCAAGTGCCAGAGTAAAAAGAATCAGTGGTAGTGCCTGAAAATTTTGCATTCGTGTTCAAGAAGAAGAGAGAAAAAAAAAGTGCACCGCACTGAATTCTAGCCTAGAGAATAGAGAAGTGAAAAAAGTAAGGTGACAAAAAGAAAGTCATACGACGACAAAAGAAAGATAGAAGAAAAAAGAAGAATATATCTATCTACACATACATACGCATGCAAATAAAAGAGTTCGTAATAGTTTCTGTTCAAATCAAATGAAGACCGGAAATTAGCGAGAGAATAGAAAGAAAGAAAGAGAAAGAAAGGGGGAACTACGACGACACATGCAAAATAACAAACTGTGCCGCGCATACAATAATATCATTTATCGTGTAACGTAGAACATGAAGTGTTTTCTTGCACGTGGAATAAGTTGTTACATATTTTTTGGATTACAAGTAGATTGGATTACGACTAAGAAAACTTCTGAATTTTTTGTAAACTGTCAGCCGCTATTTCAATTAAATACGTAAGTCAATTCATTTCTAGTTTTCGGATAGTTATAGATATATTTCAATGTTGTGCGTAGTCAGACATAATTTTCATTTAAATAAACTAGAGAATCCATTTTGCTAGTTGAATTTTGATCGATCGAGAGATAGAAAGAGAGTAAATGAATTGTGTCATTGCATTTTAAGTCCGTAGGATTTGTTCAAGTATATTCTTCAATTGATCAAAGTGTTCAAATGGTCAAAATGTTGTCGGATCTATTGGATCTATCAGATGATAATATTGGCAGGTCTTCTAATTTATCTGGCATTTTCTATTGTTGTTGTTCTTCATATTATTTTTATTCAAAAAATTTTTCTTACCAAATGCAAAATGCTAAGCCTTATTTAAACCGCACAATTTTGTTCTCTTTGTTGATAGTAGATTTGCTTGTATAACGTATGCTAAAACGTTGGAAAATAATTTTTACTAAAACATAATTTAAACATCCGTATTCGAGAGTGAGGAAAGAGAAAAAAAAAACGTGCAACATCCGTATTGATTCTATTCTACTCGAAATGTGTCGTTTTTCTTCTGTTCTTATTTCAATGAATCGATTGTATTTTTCATTCATTCATTCATTCGATTCTTGGAACCACTCGATGGATTCATTGGAATGAATGAAATCGTACGATGATTATGACTTCTGACTGATTATCAAATGATAACTCGAAATTTTGATGAATGAATGAATCGATAATCAAATCAACAAAAATAAAGTTAATTTTCACGCAAACAACATCAGCTTGGCATGAAATGAAAGTCAAAAAGCTGAATACACAACATTTACCTAGAAAACAAACGTGAATAAAATGACGTACGGCCAACAACATGCCATTGCGTGCCGCAATTTGACTTGATAAAATTTTGCTGCCGATTGTTTTCGATAAAACTTAAAAAAAAAAAAAAATAGTCGTCACACATATCGTATTTGTGTTTGCTCATTTGCAAATGCCATTAAAACACATATTTCTGTGCATGCACGAATCGGATCGACATCTATATGGTCAACCATCGATTTTATGTGCATATTCATCGAACTGCGTTTGATATATTCAATTGACTTGTACTTCTACTTGGTCGAATTGTTGACCGTTTTCCTTTTTTACTCGTTTCAATCGACGAGGTTACGAACAAAATCGGCAAACAAAGCGAAGCATCAAGCAATTTATGGTAATCACAAATCGATTATATTTCCGGCTTTAGCATCAATCAATTGCAATACAATTTCCGAATTAACCTTCGTACATACAACACAATCGATTAAGTCAAGTCTCATTGCGCTCCGTTTGTGTGTTGTTTTTTTTTATTGTTTGTTATTTTGAGCTTTTCGACCAGCTGCAAAAAATCTGTTGTTTCAAATTATTTTTAGAAATGCCGACGTTTTCTTGGGTGGAAATGGTTGTCTTCGATTTTAATGTCCCCGAAAAATCAATAAAAGAAAGATAGAGGAAACACATTATAGGTATTGTCAAAGGTGAAATGGTGTAAGTGCGTATATATTCAGAAGCCATCATTTATTCACTTGAAAACGGTACTCATTAGTGGCTATCTTCGTTATTTGATATAATGCATTCACGCCAAATAGAAAAATCAATGCGTATCGATGGCAAACAGTCGTGTTTATCAATTCATTCATAAAATTGGTACGAAATAAAACCAAATATTGGCACTTCAAATGAACCAAACTGTGCACATTCCAATCGGAGCACAGAACCGATCGGAAATTCCGCCGTTTTGCATATCACACACAACGCAGAGACAAAAATGTGACAAAATTCAATGGGCATTTATTACACATTAATACGGTTTGTCTCATTCCATTACAAATCTGATGTCAGATGCCTGCGATGCGAATAAGCTCTGATCCCAATTGATTTAAATTTAAAGTTTTAATTTTAACTAAATTTCCATCGGTTGGACAGAAAAAAATACATAGCATTCGGTCGAGGTATTTGCAATGTGTGGTGTGCTGTTGTTACCGTGTGTATATACGCGCGCGCGTTCGAGCTCCTATGCATAAGTTTGCGTAAGAGCATTTTTAATTGCTTTAGGAAATAGATTGCCACTATTTTGAAAATGCGCCGAGAGCCTCGGAGATGCTCACAACGATTACGCCGACTTAAAAATTGTACTGTGTTCCCTCTATCTCTATAATACACTCTCTCCCTGTGTGTGTACGGTTGTACATGCGAATTTTTGAACAACAATACAGCAAAAAAAAATTGTTCATGTTGTCGCTGCTCGGCATCCAAAGAGTCACCGTTCCTTACTCTCTCAAAAATGTATGGGGAACATGTGGCTATAAGCCACATAACATTTATGTTGAAATATTACAAAAGTGCAAAGCGAAATAATTCTGTTGTGACATCGTCTTAAAATAAACATATGCGTATGCGTGGTCGATGCTGCCGCCACTGCTGCTGCTGCTGCTGTTGCTGCTATAAGTTTTCTGTCGCTTTGTATTCTCTTTTTTGCAGCAGCAGCAGCAGCAGCATCGACTCGAACATCGATGCAAAGGAGTCGTTGGCATCCTTTAATTTCACTTTTCACATTTTTTTTTTCACGCGCGCGTGTGTGTAAAACAGGATGTGTCTTCCTCATTTCGGTTCATTCATAATAATAAATACTTGTTCGTATGCGTCAAAAATCGGTGAGGTGCGTTACGAATTGCATTTAAGTCAATCGCTCCCCCTCTCGCTCTCTCTCTCTCTCTCTCTCTCTCTCTCTCTCTCTCTCTCTCTCTCTCCGTCCCAAGCACACTATCTCGGGCAACAAACGGAACGGCACATCGAATCGACAACAGCTTTGTAAAGTACAAGCCAAAAATAAATACACATTTATCTTGCAAATTGAATGCATTCTATAAGTAAAACTGGACATATTCAACGGATATTTACTGCTGCCTTTTTAAATTCCCATTTCAACCATTTTCTCTTCGTCTTTTTTTCATCATACACACAAGAAGAGAAACAATATTCTTTTTATTACATTGCATTGGCGGAATTTTTAAACGAATTTCATATTCACATTAACAACCATGCAGAAGAAGAGAAAACCAAAAAATTGGCGACTGCACACGTGAATGGTCGATCAAATAAACAAGCATGTAAATGAGAAATAAGAATATCAATTCATTAAATTCAGGCAATTGAAGCTGTGTGTGTGTATTTTTTTACCGCTCGAATGAAATGCTTCAAAAGAATCAAATTTACACCGGAAACGAGTTTTAATTTTCAGCGCAAATTTTCTTCAAAAACACCAAACTCTCTCTCTATTTTGCTCACTCTATGATTTCGTTGATTCGCGGCCCGAAGATGAAAACCCGAAAATAGAAATGCCGATCACAGCATCATGTAATTCGCAAGAAAAAAACAAAACTGTAACACAACACATGAACCCATTGAAAATGAAAAAAAAAACAGCGCCGCCGTAAATATTGATCCCGATTGAGGTAGTTTGTTCGGTAATCTCCTCAACAGCCCGTTTGAACGGGGTCGTGATTGTATTTTGTTTGCCCAGACTTATTATGATATCGCTCCACATCGTACACGTTTTTTTGCATGGTCCATATAACTAAACACACACTATACGCATCGTTTCGTATGTTTACGCTCGACTCGTTTCGAATCTGCTCAGCCGCTCTCTTTGCGCTCACAATAATACAATGTAGCTTCATGGTCAAAGACTGAAACACTGAAAATAAAAACACGTTCGACTTCCTTTTTCATTGCGTTCAGTCAGCTCCGTTTAATTTTCAATGAAATAATGTAATTTTATTCGCCTGTCACCTTTGAACTTGCTCCAAGTGATAATAATTAACATTTGTATGCGATCAATGGTCGGCACATTTGTATATATAGAAAACATCATGTGTGCCACATGCATTCCAATACAGTACACACAATGTGTCCGACAACAACGCAAGGATGTGTGCTGTGTGTTTGCGGCAAATCAGTTTCCGAGCCGAATTGAAGCTTGAACGAGACACAACGATCGATGCGAACAATACAATGGACAGAGATGAAAGAGAAATGGAAAAGGGATGTATGGATTGTATCAAAGACGATCGAACCGATTCTTTTTTATTCTCCTTCTAATCATCTAATTCACTTGCAATGAGAGATCGCTGTTGCTTCGAGTGCACAGCCAGCAAGCGGGCGAGTGAGCGAGCGAGCAAGGCGGGCGAACGAACGAACGAACGAACGATCGATTGAGCTAGAGAGAAATAGAGTGACGGATATTTTTGCTGGTGTTGTTGTTGCTTTTTTTGTTGTTGGTTTTGGAAGTTTTTCGCCTTTAGACAGCGCTGCCGGTCCAGTAAATATTGATATAGACAGACGCGTCGGGATCGCAACATGCGTATACAAAATGTGTTGCTTGTGATGTGTGTGTGTTGTGTTGATCACAGGAAATGTGAAGCTGTGTGCTCACATTCCGCGTATGAGTGTGAGCTCAAGCGGCACAGCGGCAATTTCTATCTTTCAATCTGTCTGTTTATTAAGCGTGGTGTATTTATAAAATTTGGCAAGAAATAAATCGGCTGCCGTTGAAAAACATTCTGAAATTATTTCGCCGCTGTCGAGCTCATGCTGCTTTTAAGCAATTTCAGTTTCTATTCACTTCGAGTGGAATTGGAGATGAAGCAAGTTTTTACAATTTATCAAAAAAAAAAATGAATCGCGAAGAAAACCTCGATCAATTTGTACTAATACCGTAATAGGACGTCTTGATGATTTCAATTCGGCTTATAGTTTCATTCACTCTTCGAATGTTGCTTTCGATTTTGTTAATGGAGCCTCTGCGAATCCATTTGAGTAACGATCAATTTTTTAGTTCCATTTGGGGTGACACTTCGGCTGCTTTTTGTTTTCGTCTGCGGAGCCGAACACCATAAGCATATATATGCAGTGAAATGATCATCACAACAATTTGTTGATCATTTTGAATGCCTCGCTCGGATTCTTTTTATTGCATATT